TGGTAGGATTGATTGTCTGGTGCTCTGACCATTTATTGGCTGAGACTGGGACTTCCTGCAACTGCCACCTATGCCACTCTCTGCAAAGTGCGCTGGTTGCATGTAGTATGTCCTGCCCTTCTGCCCGACTTCCACTTCCCTCCTCAAACTTGCCGGACATTTATTGGACAGTCATTTTGACAGTCGGGAGTTGCTGTATAAAAAACAGCATCTGTGGGATTTCAAAGGCAAGATAGAAAGATACAAAGTTACATTGTTACTTTTGCATTCATTCTGTTTCATTCCTCCGTATGTATTATTATTATACAGGATTTATACAGTGCCAACAGTTTGCGCAGCGCTTTACAACATAGAGAAGACATTACAATACAATTCAAGACATAATGAAAAGGAAAGCCCTGCCCATGACAGCTTACAATCTAAAAGATAAAAAGCTTCCATCTGCATATGATGCCAGCTGAAGCAACCTGACCAATTAAAAAAAAAAAAGAAAATCATTTTTGATGACTTTTGATAAAATGTGTTCCTACTTAACCCTTTACTAACCCTTGGTTTACTCTAATCATCAGTAATTAACTCTATCTTCCCCCTTCTCCCCTTAGCTATTTTCTGCTGATTTATTGTTTTGTTTATTGTATTCTTTGTAACCATAAAATTTTCTAAATAAATTTCCAATTTGCATTGCATTTACAATGCATTTGACCAGAATGTTAATTGTTTGTCTCGTTTTAAACAGGACAAAATCATATTGTTTTAGTTGCGTATTTTTTTGTTGTTGTTCATAAAGAATAAATAAATAAACAATAAATTTACAAAAATAAATATTTTTTGCAAAGCAAGATCACCAAATGAAAGGCTTGTTTTGTCTTAAAAAAAATTATTATGAAAAGTTCCTGCTGAATAAAAAGCCCTCAGGGGAAATGTAGAAATGATTCGGGTCCATATACAGGGTCAGAGTTGAAGTGTTACATCCAAGAGTCTTCTGTCTGGTCACATGACGTCCAGAGGTCCTGTTCCTCTTGTCTCTGCATCCGAAGTGGGCAACCTTCTAACTTTGCAGAGAGCTGCATTGTGGGCCCAGGCCAAGGTGGTGATGCACCCCCAGGGGGTGGCTCCATGACAGCCTGGGCTTGCAGTGGGTGGGTTGGACGATGCTGGATGTCATTTTAACCAAGAAGACAATCTGACGCTGGACCTCCAAACGGTGAGGTTGCAGTACACAACCTTGGGATGAAAGATGGATGACCCCGCTTGCCAGCTGTCAAGGCTCGCTGCAAGGATGCCTATGCAGACCATTAAAGGGTCACCACTCAAAAGTGATATTGAAGGTATAGGTGGAGGTGGAGTCAGGCCCGGCTTCTGGATACTTCAACAGCAGGGCCGGATTTCCTACAATGCCAACCAAGGCCCGGCCTCCGGGCAGCAGGGAGTAGAGGGGCAGCAGGGGTGTGGAATTCCTATCTCCCAATGCCCGCGACGCGTAGTTCAGGGTGCTGGGCGGGTAGTTGTTTTCTACATTTAGCCCTGCTTTGGGCAAGCAGATCTAAATGTACAGCGGGGAAGCCGTCGCTTGTTTTATACAAGCGCTCCCGGTGATGTGGCTAAGGTCACTTGTATGCAGCATGCAGGTCTGCTATTCTCCATTGTGGAAGGGGGGGGG